CGCACGCATGCCAGGCGAGCGCGCTACCACTTGAGCCACATCCCCAGCCCAATATATGATGTTATTTTAAGCTGTGTTTGTGACCGATCAGAACATTAACTGTCTTAGTTGCTAAGCCCCAGGCATATAGCTGCAGTAACTCAGGTCCTTCCATGTTCTCCCTGGGAAAATGATGTGTGTGTGGTGTGGAGATCTATCAAGGGCTGAAAGATGTTACCATGAACTTACCTCATAGTCTAGAGGCCACGAGTACCTTGGTCAAAGATCTTTTTATGGGGTTGTCTCTGGACCTTGAATACCCTCTAAGACTTATTATTGAGGATGAATATTTCTTGCCAAGAATGATAGTTTTGGTGAAAGGTATTTATAAAACATCATTCTATTGGCTGTATTTGGCAAATTTTAGGGTCTTGGTTGATAATAGAGTTTGCAAATGCAACCAGATTCAATATACATCTAGTCAATGTTTTATTTCCAAAGATGACTTTTCCTCTAGCTAAGATTTCAGGCCACACAAATACAATACCTATAGGCCTGTTTAACAAGAGCTCAAACTCAAAAAGTGATCAATCACCTTTAAAAAAAAATTCTACTCATCACAGACAAGAAGTGCAAAGTGAATCTCTTTTGAGAAATGTTGAATGTGAGGTCCAGAAAGCATATCATAAGGATTTTCTTAGGGGAAACAAACTTTGATTTCAGAGAGATCTAGAGACTAGAACTCAGAAACCCCTGATCTTTTTTTAAAATATATTTTTAGTTGTAGATGGATACAATACCTTTATTTATTTATTCTCATGTGGTGCTGAGAATGGAACCCAGTGCGTCACACATTCCAGGCAAGCGCTCTACCACTGAGCCACAACCCCAGCCCCTCCCCATCTTTATTCTTTTCAGTCATGGTGTAATCTGCTTCACATCTGTTCCTGTCTGGGGTTGGTGCTCTCTCACTTAAAGAATCTCTTTTTATGTCATGCGCTGCAAGATACTGCCTGAAAGACATTAACAGGCAACTGGATGGCTCCATGCTTGCTTGGGCAGAATTCATGAGATATTTCTTTAGCAAAAGGGGATTCTAACTGTGGGTAATCATGAGGCAGGCAGTGAAACAGAAGAGAGGAAAGGGGAAGTTGCCATATGAAAAAATGATCATAATTAGTGTTGCTAAGATAAGAAATATAATTAAATTAGGAGGATATGGGTGGCAGGGCTGGGATAATTGTAATAGTTAAGGAATAGTCTAGGGAATATCAGGTAGAAAACATGTATTTAAACATTTTAATAAAGCCTATAAATTTTATCTGGGATAGTCCTGAGTAGCTTRGGCAAAGATTGAGCACCCATCTACTGCACGAGCAAGATAACAAAAAAATAGTTATTTTGGTTGACCAATGTAATCACCATGGGGTTTGCAAAAACAGAACCATCTGTTGTATGAGGAACCATGGAGAGATTCTGTATTTATAGACTGCTGAGTGGGAAAACCAGGCACATTAATGAACTCCCCCAACCCTCAGTTCTCTAATTTGAAATCTACTTTTCTTCTAGTTTCTCAGCTGTCAACATGTACTGCATTGAGAGAGAGAGAGAGAGAGAGAGAGAGAGAGAGAGAGAGAGAGAGAAAGGGAGGGAGGGAGAATATAAAAGCAGACCGACTTACTATGACTAATTTAAGAACTCCCAAAGCAGGCTCTTTTCCAAAAATACATAGCAATTGACAATACTGTAAGCTCAGTCTGAAGGGGATATGACACAACTCCTAGCCCAAGGCTGAATCAGATGTTTACTGCCAGTTTGGGCACAGCAGAGAAGTCTGTAATCTCCACAACCCTTCAGTGTTCTTGTGTGGAGTTTTAAAATTAAACATTTCATAATGAATGTTTCCAATGAGTATATCTTTAACAGTCTACCTTAATAATTCCCATTTTTTTTCTTTTGGTTTCTAAGATGGAAGTTGGTTGTAGGGAAAAATTTATATTAGGGTCAAGATTGCTAGTGCTTTTCAGATACTGCATATTCATTTTATTTTATGTACTGGAGATTGAACCAAGGGACACTTAACCATTGTGCTACATCCCCAGCATTTTTTATTTGACACTGGATCTTGCTAAGTTGCAGACGCTGGCTTTAAACTTGTGTTCCCCCTGCCTCCTAMATAGCTGGGATTGCAGGCGTGTGCCATGACACCTGGCTAAAACACATTTCTTAATGAAAATGTTTATATCCTTTGGTAAAATTATTTTTGAAAAGCTTACATCTTTTTTTGGTAATTGCTTTTGCAGGAATAGCTACCTCTGTGCATTATAACTAGACTCTTGCGKAGAAGGTTGGATGGCAGGCAAAGGAAGTAATGACTCTCTTCCAAAAGACTAGAGATTCCTTGGGATGTAGCTCAGTGATAGAGCTCTTGCCTAGCATTTGAARTCCTAGATTCTATCCTCAGCACTGGAAGGGGACGGAGGAAGAGCCTATAAAGGGATGATAGGATCACATTTCATTCAATGATTTCAGTWAATTTTTACTATGAATTCAATTATGGGGGTGAGGGGACTGGCCAAGATAAAGTGATATCACCATTTACTGGGTAACTACTATGTGCCAGCTAATGTATTAAAAAAGCACTTTGTCTTTTTTCTCTCAGCAAACCCTAAACACTGTCATTTCTATTTTACAAGAACTAAATTTCAGAAAAGTTAAAACTCACTCCAGGTCACACAGCTAGCAAACTGCCAGGAACAATCAGTAATTCAGAGAGTGACCTGTCTTTAGTTTACCTGATAAATATGCTATTTTTTGAGAATTTTGTTCAGAAATCCAGATTTTAATGACTCTCCATTCCTTTTGCTAAGTARTTCAAGTAGCTTCTTGCACCAAGTGTGACCTTGCTCCTTAATAATGAGAACCCACGAATTTGAAACTCAGGCCATTTATTCGCCTTATCTCCTTCAACCATTACAGCTACTTTAGGAGGTTGGGTTCTCTCATTCCATTTTATAGATGATGAACTTAATGTTTTGGAGAGGTTAAGAAAATAGCTCATAGCCCCCGAATTAATGAAAGGTATTGCTACGACTGTACTCCAGGTCTTTACCTCCAAAACCAGAAGAAGCTTTACACACACCACCTGTGCTTGGAAACATATTTTGGGTTTTAGCTACTGTCACTACTGTCATTGTCAAAGCACTGGCGAGAGCGCACTGTGCAGATATAGTATTTATCAAGTGTTGATAGTGTCCTGGGATCTGATACTTTGACGAGAAAGCTGTCGCTCCATCAACTTCTGGACTCACGAAGGGATGGGTAAGTAGGACAGGCGATAGAGAGCCCCCACAACTTAAGCTCAGCAGCAACTAGAAGCAGCCCCAACGGCAGGGGCTAGGAGACCGCCCCCTTGCTCGGACCGGGGAGTAAGCAAGGGCCCGGGCTACCCCGGGGAGTCCGAGGCCTCGCTTTTGGTTCTCCGAGTTCCTACAGGAGCCTCAGGGAACTGGAATCGACCGGACCAACAACAGAGRACAGTGACAACAGAAGAACTCCAGGGGGTGCCCCTCGCACGCCAAGTCCCCGGGCCCCAACAAGTCCGGGCTCTGGGGCTGCCGTGCCTAGCGGATCCCCTTGGGCTCGCGGCCCCGCCCCCGGAAGTGACGCGCAGCGTCGTCTGGGAGGGGCCCTAGCGCAACCGGGGGGTTCAAGAGTGGCGGCGGCCGCGGAGCGCCCAGCAGGCCCGGCCGAGGCGAGGAACGCCCCGAACGCGCGCCCGGCGGGTAGCGGCCTGACGACCCGCGCCGCCGACACTGCCGCCACGTGCGGGGGCGGGAGGGCGGGACACAAGGAGTCTCGGCGGCTTTGCGGCGGCGGGAGATGCGGGAGACTGCGGACAACCGGCGGGCTCGGCTCGGCGGCCGCCGCCGCCTTCTCCGGCTCCGCCGCGGGGGTCGCAGCGGCTGCCGCGCCATCCTCAAGTTCCCAGCGTGAGGAGTTGGCCGAGGAGGGGAGCTTTGCATTCGAGACCGTGAGCGAAAGGGAGCCCCGCGCGGCGCGTGGCCTGGTGAGCGGCTCTTCCGCTCCCATCAAGGTCCAGCTGCAGCCCCTCGGACTGKGGGCGGACGCGTGGGCCGAGGGGCTCGCAGCACAACAGGAAGTGCGGGCGCGGGGCGGGGCTGCGGCGCGCTCCCCTGGGGACCCGCCCCCCGGCCGCTGGTGCCTGCGGCCCCTGCTCCGCAGAGCGCGCAGGTGGACTCCGGATCGCGGCGCTCCACTCCTCACTCTCTAGTTGGGTTCCGCGAGGTCCTTTAGGCAAAAGGTGGCAGCGGGTTTTGTTGCATGGGTGGAGAGAAGGGGAGCAATTCTGACTTTCAGTAGTGACAGGAAGTTGGAAAATGAAAGTACAGTAATTGAGTGGTTACAAAGACCCGTGAAGTTGKGCCTCTTCCTCGGACTTTGATCTTCTCTGGGGCGCACGGTCCCAGAGGTGTTTCTTCCTTTCCCCTAGCTCGCTATTCATCCGGTGTCAAGTTTCATTTCTTTTTCTACCTCTCTCCAGCACCCACCTCCCGCCTTTACTTTCTGCTTACTGTACCGCTGCAGCAAGGCTGGGCGCTTCTTCATTCTAGTAAGATAAATTGGAAACGTCTTTTGGGGCATTGGTAGAAATAAGGGGTATTCTTGACTGAAGTGATCAAGAGATATTCAGTTGGCTTTTCCCCAAACTATTAATGTTTGAAGTTTAGGACATTTAAATAAAGATTCCTAAATCTGTCCCTTTGGTTGCTGGATCAGATCCTCCCTCCCATCACACTCCGCGTGGAAAACTTGGTGCTTTGGTATTTAGGACTGRCATTTTCGTTAAAATATAGTATGATTCAGTTTTTTTTCCCCCTAAGGAATTCTCTCTTTGATTTTAAGTATTAAAACTTTTGTTAATGGAGTCTGTTACATCCTGAGGGAAATATTGTCTTCTAAGGGTTTTTTTTTTTTTTTAATTTAACAGTATACATTTGGAAATGGGAATTTAGCTGTGAGAGTTTGTGCAAGACCCTGGGTTTCATTCCCAGCACGTGCAGATGCAGACACACACACACACACACACACACACACACACACGAAGGAAGAAATATGCATTTAATATTCTCTATTCTCTTTGTATAAGATCCTGTGCAGTAGTTTAGCTATATCCGGTTACTTTTTGACAAGGATTATTTTGATTCAAAACTAATCTTAATATATTTAAGATTTTTCGTTTTTTAGGTAGCCATTGAAGAATTTGGAAACTTATTTTTTGGTCTTAGYTACTGTCACTGAAAAATAGTTGGGTTATGGGTGGCCACAGCAACAGGACTATGTGTATTATAAACATGTTGAGGGTGGTAGCATTTCACTTCATAGAATCTTCTTTAATAAGCTATTTCAACATGGATACTTCTTTCTTTCTCATTCTTTTCTTCTTCCTTCCTTAATGTTGAGGCTGGAACACAGGGCCTGAAGCATGCTAGGCAGAGGTACCATACCCACTGAGCTACACCTCCAGCTGCCTCTTTTAAATTAGCACAGGGATTAGTCTTTCTTTGGAGTGTTGATAGCATCAATTGTTTTCAGTGTTTAATCCTTCAAAAATCAGACTCCTACCCTGATGAATGTGGTATGCCAGTTATCCCTGCTCCTGAGGAGGCTGAGGCAGGAATATCCCAAATTTGAAACTAACCTGGACAATTTAGTGAAATCCTGTCTCAAAAAATGAAAAGGTCTGAGGGTGTAACTCAATAGTAGAGCACTGGTCTGTCATACTCAAGACCCTGGATATAATCACCAGTACCGGAAGGAAAAAAAAAAAATCAGATTCCTTAAAATGGAGCAGGAAAATACAAGATTTTTTTTTTTAATTTTTAAAAAATTTATAATCATACAAAAGTCAGGATTTTTTAGTGGGGGAGAATACCRAGGATTGAACTTTGGGGCACTGGACCACTGAGCCACATCCCCAGCCCTATTTTGTATTTTATTTAGAGACAGGGTCTTGCCAAATTGCTTAGTGCCTCACTTTTTATTTCTCCTGTCTCAGCCTCCCAAGCCATGTGCATTACCACACTGGGCAAAAGTTGAAAAAAAAWTTTTTTTTTTTTTTTGTACTGGGGAGTGAATCCAGCCTTCTGAGCACATCCCCAGCCCTTTTTCATATTTTATTTAGAGACAGGGTCTCACTGAATTAAGACCTCATTAAATTGCTGAGGCTGGTTTTGAACTCATGATCCTCCTGCCTCAGCCTCCTGAGGTGCTGGGATTACAGGCATGCACTACTATGCCCATGTTGAAAAATTGGGATTTTGTGAAAAGGAAAATCAAGTATTTTCTCTCCTCCTTGGCTGTTTGTAACAAGAGAAAAAGGATTTATATTTTTAACTCTTAACCTTTGTAATTTTTAATTATTTTTTTCCTCYGTTAGTTTTCCTTTATGACTGGAAATCATTGAAGTTCATAATTAATACCACGCTTTTAAAAACTAAAGTGAAAAGAGTTTTATCTATATCCTCAGGAGTTTGCCAGTTTTTCAATTGAAAGAATAACCTGATATTAAAATTAAATTAGGGACTTTGAATTGGGGAGCTGGGCACAGTAGCACATGCCTGTAATCTCTGTGACTCGGAAGGCTAAGGCAGGAGCATCGCAAGTTCCAGACCAGCTTCAGCAACTAAGGGAGGCCCTAAGCAACTTAGCCAAACTCTGACTCAGAAAAGGGCTGGGGATGTGGCTCAGGGTAAAGCTCCAGTACCAAAAAAAAATTTTTTTTAATTAAAAAAAAATTGAATTAGTGGCTGAGGGTATAGCTCAGGAATAGAATGCTTATTTAATGTACATGAGGCCCTGGGTTTGATTCCCAGCACCACACACACAAAAAGCATTCTTTTAAAAGTATCCATTGTAGTTGTCCATTTTATAAGTCTTAGTTTTTCTCAAAAGAAAATTCATTTCCACTTTTCCCGTCCAAAACCATGATGCTCTTTTTCTTTTCCTCCTAATATAACTTCTAGCCTAGACATCTAATAATGTGCTAAAGAGGCATCAGCATTTCCTGTAGCAGGTAGGTTCTATACTAAAGTATCCAATAGCTTGTCACACTTGACTTCATGGATACTGAACSACTAGTAACCAAAGGGAAAGTGGACACTAACCTTCACCACCTTTGAGCAACCTATCTTTGGGAACCTTCTCTTTGCTCAGGACAGTAATTGTATGCTCATTGTGAATATTTTAGTGACTGTTTCTGTTTTTCTAGCTGTGTAGCTTAGTTACTATAAGCATGTAGGGCTCAAATGTGATCTACATGATAGGTGTTAAGACTCCATGATTTGGGTTTTAGAATTTTTCCCAAAATAAGTGGAATTATAAGCAGCACTTTTATAGTAAAATAGAACTTCCTGTTCTCTGTCTTCCTTTCTTCTATTATTGTCTCTTTCGTGCATACATTTCTACCTTTACCCTAAGCATTCTTGACMCAAAGGTGATGTCTAGAAATGTGGAAATTGATTTTTTTGTCTAAACTCATATTTACAAGGGAATAGTATTTACAGGCTTACGCTAACAAATAATTGCTTAAGAAAACTGTATAGTAAAAAAAAAAATATCATGAACAAGCATCATGAGAAGAAAATGGCTATTTGGTAAACTCAGAAAAGTGACAAAGAACTTCCCTGTGCCCCACCATACTTAATGAACATGATAACCACTGTTTTAATTCAGGTCAAGACTGGGGAGCTGATTTCTAGAGGGSACAGTTGTTTAACATTAAGGAAACTCTTCATTTGAGGATTATTATCTCTTAGTACCTAAATACAATACTTCTTTACAATGAACTAGTGRTATGAATGTTTTCACCATCTAGAGAAGAGGGTTTCCTAATGAATAGATGAGGATGTTGCTGTGTCGAAGGGAAGTTGGACCCAAGGTATTAGCTTCTTGACTGTGGCATCTCCCCTTTCTATTCTTTATTATTTTCCCATCTTTATTTGCAGATGACAGTATCTCTGTATGACCAGTTTCAAAGTGGTAAACATGAGGATTACTGGAGAACATTTCAAGTGCCTCAGAAAAGTTTAAAAAAACCAAATATTTTTCACTACAGTTTCTTACTCTRCCTCTTTTTGGCAGTGGAAGTAGTTGACCCTTAAGGATCTCATCTCCGTGAGCTATATGTGTTAGAATTAGTCTCCTTAGGCCTAACTCTTGTAACATTTGTTTTGTTAGGTTTGTTTGTTTTAAWCATCTGTATTGAGAAGTAGTTTATACCCAAGAATTCACCTACCTCTAGTGTACAGTTCAGTGGTTTTTAGTATATTCACAGAACTGTGCAATTACCACCACAATCTAAGTTTAGAATATGTTTAGCAGCCCAAAAAGAAACCCTCTACTCATTAGCTGTCGTTCCTCATTCCTCTTCCTACTCTTCCTCTACCCCCAGCAACTGCTGATCTACTTTCTTTGGCTATAGATTGGCCTGTTCTGGACTTCTGATGTCAATAGAACCATGGACTGTGTCGTCTTTTGTGGCTGACTTGTTTCCTTTGCATAGTAGTGCCTTCAAGGTTCATGCATGTTGTGACAGTAATTCATTTTTTTTTTATGTTTGAATGATATTCCATTACCACATTTTATTTATCTGTTCATCAGTTAATGGATGTTTGAGTTGTTTCCACTTTTTAGCTATTATGAATARTTCTRCTCTGAACATTCTGGCAAAAGTTTTTGTATGGACATACATTTTCATTTTTCCTGGGTATGTAGGAGTGGTTTATGTGGTAAACTTGTCTGAAGTGGCCATGTGATTTCCACTAGCAATGTCTGAGGGTTTCAATTTCTCCCTACTTGTTATTGTCCATCTTTTTGATTATAGCCATCTTTGTAGGTATGACGTGGTTTCTTATGTGGTTTGGATTTTCATTTCCCTTATAACTAATAATGTTGAACATATTTTATGTTCTTATTGGCTATTTGCATGTCTTCTTTGGAGAAACGTGTTTTTTTATTGTTGTTACTTTTTTGGTTTTGTTTTGTGATACTACGAATTGAACCTTGGGTTTTTGTGTCACTGAGCTATGTTGCTAACCCTTTKCGAAGGCTGATGATGAACTTGGAATCCTCCTGCCTCAGCCTTCCTAGTTGCTGGGATTACAGACATGCAAATCCTTTGCTTCGTCTTAATTTTGTCCTTTTTAAGTTACTTTAGATACTTTAGATACAAGTTGTTTTTGAGATATGATTTGAAAATATTTTCTCCCATTTTCAGAATTGTCTTCTCATTTGATGGTATTGTTTGCAGCACAACATTTAAAAAAATTTTTTTATAGTTGTAGATGGACAGAAAGCCTTTATTTTATTTGTTTATTTTTAATGTGATGCTGAGGATTGAACCAAGTGCTCTACCGCTGAGCTACAGCCCCAGCCCCAGTTTTAAATTTTGATGTAGTCCAGTTTACCTATTTTTGTAATATTTTAGTGGAATTGATTTAATTTATTTTCAATCCTATTCTGCCCCACTGAGTTCTCATTCCTACAGAAAGGAAGGTTTCTTTATTTTATGTGTGAATATGTTCAGTTACAAGTTTCTTAGGATGAGTTTATATATGTCTGGCCAGAGTTTTTGCCCTAAAGAATTCTTTCTCATGKACCACATATTTTGAAATTCTATGAGGAAGATGTCTTTGTGAGTGTATTTCCATTTTGCCCTGTTGCYCAAGCCAGCAATTATCAACCAGGATAATTTTGACCTCTCCTAGCAGAATATTGACTGTTTCTAGAGACTTTTTAAAAAAAATTTTGTTTTAGATGAACACAGTACCTTTATTTTGTTTATTTTTGTATGTGGTGCTGAGAATTGAACCCAGTGCCTCACATGTGCTAAGCAAGAGCTCTCTACCACTGAGCTTCAACTCCAGCCCTGGAAATACTTTTAATGGTCTCAGTAGGACAGGGGATGCTATTGGCATTTAGTGGATAGAGACAAGAGATACAGCTAAAATCTAGCACATGAGACAATACCCCAAAACAAAGAATGATCTGGCCCAAATATCGGTAATGCTAAAATTGAGAAACTGGCCTCAAAACAGGTATGGGGGATTTTTTTCTTTCAGTTTGTCTTGTTAATTAAATAAAGGTTGCTAATCAAATAAAAGAATAATCTATGCAGATGGAATCTCTATAGATAGATAGAACTGTAACAGAACTTGTAAATTAGGGAACATTTTATTGAATTCTCAGTGCTGCCAATTTATGTAAATTACATTTATGATAATGGATACTATTTGGAGGAGAAGTATCAGTTGGAGCAAAAGTAGATTATTACTTGTACCTCAGCTCCCGGCCTGCCCTGGACACATAACTTGGTAAATAATCAAACTAGATAGAGGTTGAGATAGATGGTGGTCCTCTGAGAGACCATGATAGTGAAACTGTAGGGAAAACTCTTTTTTTTTTTTTTTTTAAATGGTGCTGGGGATTTGATCCCAGGGCCTTGTGCATATGAGGCAAGCACTCTACCAACTGAGCTATATCCCTAGCCCCAAATTCTTAATAACATATACTCTTATGGCTGGCAATCTTCAGTCTGCTCCCAAAATTTACAGAACTAGCTTTATTCTCCTTACAAGTTGCTTCTGAAACTGTATGGCATACTTTGGACTCTGGATTCAGATCATCTGGGCTTAAATCTCAACTTTGCCATTTGCTTTGTGACCTTGGACAGACTGGACAAGGTATTTAACCCTCTATTGATTCATTTTTCCATGTGTAAAATGAGAGTGCAGCCATATCTATCTAATAGGAATATCGTGGGTATGAAATGAGCTAGWACACTTAGAGCACTTAAAACAGGCCTCTGATATACAGTGTTAATTCTATCACATATCTGTATTCTTTCAGCCCACTGCTATGGACAGTGCCATTACCCTGTGGCAGTTCCTTCTTCAGCTCCTGCAGGAGCCTCAGAATGAGCACATGATCTGCTGGACCTCTAACAATGGGGAGTTCAAGCTTTTGCAGGCAGAAGAGGTTGCTCGTCTCTGGGGAATTCGCAAGAACAAGCCTAACATGAATTATGACAAACTCAGCAGAGCCCTCAGATACTATTATGTAAAGGTAACACACATCCTGATCTTGATGCTATACAGAGAACCTCAAGCCAAGAATTATTTCTTCTCTTGTTGAGGTTATAGGTATTAATGTCTTGTTTTATTTTAATACAATTTATTTTATAGCCTTAGCATTTAGAATTAGGACACAAGGTATAMGTGTTCTGGGTGTATTTCTGTAAACTCTCAGTAACCTACTCTCATTACATGTATTTTGTTCCCAACTACAGTTGTCTTTAAAAGAAAAAGTCCAGATTGGAATACAAAAAAGGAATTCTGAGATTCTTGAGRATAAATATTCTCATGTGTGTCATAACTTACTTTAAAAATTGTCATGTATACTTTTTTTTATAGCTTTACTTTTTTTTTTTTTTTTCCCCCTTGGTATGAGGGCTCCCAGAGGCTCTTTACCACTGAGCTTCATCCCAGTTCTTTTTATTTTCTAAGTTGCTTTGGTCTTACTAAGTTTGAGGCTGGCCTGGAACCTGCCATCCTCCTGCCTCAGCTGGGATTATAGGTGTGTACCACCATGCCCGCCTGCTTTGCTTAATTTTGTTTTCATTTCACTCAGGGAGTATAAGTTAATACTTTAAAGAATAGCTATTAATATAGTTGATTTCCTAGGTAAAATTGTTTGTTTAATTTCTTACTATTTTGAATACGTTCTTGGGCACTGAGGAAAAATAAATGGTCCAGWGACTTAGAATTTAAAAAACTAACTGTAACCCCAGCCCCTTGGGGGGCTAAGGCAGGACTATGTTCCAGGCCAGCCTGGGCAACTTAGAGATGAGCTCTTACTTTCACCTTTAAGTAATTGATCTTTTCAGCTTTCCTGTACACAGATAAGAGGCAAGGATCAACTGGAATTTCTGAAGGAAGTAGGAACCTGCAATGTTCTGAATTCCTTTTTGCTTACTCAGGATGCCTATGGCTTATTCCTTTGGAATTATTTAAGATTGCAATTCAGTTCTGACTTTATACAGATACTTGGTTGATAGAGGTAAACAATTGAAATCATTCAGGTTTTGTGTAACATACTAGTTCAGTTGCTGATAAAACATTTGAGTGTTGTTGCCTTAACTTCTCCATCATAGTAGAGGCTGTGTTTGGTATAGCTACATGAATGTATATGATTTTGAGGCTTCTGAGTAAACTGTGCCCACTTCTTATCATTAAGCTACCTTACTCATRAGCTGTGGGACATAAGTTTATAGGAAAGTGTAAGAATGCTTATCTTCTTTTTTGTAGTACCGGGGATGGAACTCAGGGCTTTGCACATGCTAACAATGCTTATTTTCTTTACCTACAGAATATCATCAAAAAAGTGAATGGTCAGAAGTTTGTGTACAAGTTTGTCTCTTACCCAGAGATTTTGAAAATGGATCCAATGACAGTRGGTAGGATTGAGGGAGACTATGAAACTTTAAACTCCAGTGAAGTCAGCAACAATTCCAAAGATGTGGAGAATGGAGGGAAAGAGAAACCACCTCAGCCTGGTGCCAAGACCTCTAGTCGCAATGATTACATACACTCTGGCTTGTATTCTTCATTTACTCTCAACTCTTTGAACACCTCCAATAAGAAGCTTTTCAAGTCAATAAAGATGGAGAATCCTGCTGAGAAACTGGCAGAGAAAAAATCTCCTCAGGAGCCAACACCATCTGTCATCAAATTTGTGACAACACCTTCTAAGAAGCCTCCCATTGAACCTGTTGCTGTCACCATTTCAACTGGCTCAAGTATTTCCCCGTCTTCTGATGAAACTATCCAAGCATTGGAGACATTGGTTTCCCCTAAACTGCCTTCCCTGGAATCCCCAACTTCTGYATCCAGCGTAGCTACCAGTTTTACCCCTACACCTCCTGTTCCGTCCATTCCCCCTTCTTTGAAGGAGCTTCCTAGGACACTTTCTCCACCGCTGGGCTCCAACCCAGACATTGACACAGACATTGATTCAGTGGCTTCTCAGCCAATGGAACTTCCAGAGAACTTGTCAYTGGATCCTAAAAATGAAGATTCAGCTTTGCCAGAAAAGGACAAAACAAATAATTCATCAAGATCCAAGAAACCCAAAGGGTTAGAACTGGCTCCTACCCTTGTGATTACAGGCAGTGACCCAAGCCCACTGGGGATATTAAGCCCATCTCTCCCTACAGCTTCTCTTACACCAGCACTTTTTTCACAGGTAACTCTCTGTATTTTTAATGCCATTGTTTGTATTTACTCACTTCTTARAACAAATCTAGAATTTCCACCTGCAAGTTTGTTTTCTGTTCTTATTCATCTTAGAAAGGTTATGTGTAATTTTTCACTTCAATCAGTTTTGCCAAAATAAAAGGTTTAGAGTATTTTTGGTGAAAATATATTGTTGTGTAAGTAAGTAAGTAAGTAAATAAATAAATATATATATATATATATATATATTTTTTTACTTCCTCCTAAGGAGAGTAAATGTTCATATTTCTCTCTGGGTCTCATGAAACTGTTACAGTAGTAAAAATCCTGAGAACCTTGAGAAAAAGGACTGATGTGATGTTGAATAACAAGTTTGTTTAGTTACAGTAGGTATTTATTAACTTGCTCATCTCATAGAACATTTTAATAGATAACTTCCAGACCATCTCATTATTAGAAGGAAAATGATGATTCATTTACCTACTATTCTTCTGCATCTRAATTCAGGTTTGTTTTTCTATTTGGGAAAGACCCTGTGTAAATTTGTTAAAAATTAGTTACTTTGACCTTATCTTTCTTAGGTTAGAAAAATGATCTCTTGAGATTTTCATCATAATAAAATTTTTAGATTTAGGGATATTTGGAGTAGAGAATAATATTATATTTGGGTTCAGTTAGTATGTTAATTTATTTATAGTTTGGCTACTTGTATACTATGGCAAGGATAAAGCATAATCCTGGTAAGTCCTTTAGTGGATATTTTTGTGTATTACAGACACCCATCTTGTTGACTCCAAGCCCCTTGCTCTCCAGTATCCACTTTTGGAGTACTCTCAGCCCTGTGGCTCCCCTGAGTCCAGCCAGACTGCAAGGTGCTAACACGCTTTTCCAGGTAAAAGGCTATCTCTTGTAATGTTAAATGAAGAGGTATGCAAAAAGGCACTGTCTCACTGTTCATTTTAGTCATTATATAATTTCTATTTGATAAATATTCTTTGTTTTATTTTTTAATTTCTACATTGATTTTCTAGCTAGCGAGCAGCTTATATTAATATTCATAGCAGTTTCCTTTTCATTATTTACAATTAATATTCATTTGATTTAGACCAAAAATTGTTTGGATGAGATTTTTGGACTCATCCATTTTTTTTTTTTTTTTGTCATTTAAAATACTAGAACTCTTCTATCAAAAATGTATTTACACACACACACACACACACACACACACACACACACAGAGCTGGGTATAGTAGTACATGCCTATAGTCCCAGCTGCTCAGGAAGCTGAAAGAGGAGGAGGATTGCTAGAACCTAGAAGTTTGAGACTAGCCTGGGCAATATAATGAGACCTTCTTTCATTAAAAACAAATCTGTGTATCTGTAAATAGATATGTCTATACATAGATGTGGGTCTGAACTTACAGTGGGTTTATACCCTGATGACCCCATTATTGTAAGTCAAAAATACGATCAGCTGAAAATACTTTTAGGCCAGGCACTGTGGTGCATGCCTGTAATCCCAGCTGCTCAGGAAGCAGAAGGATCCAAGTTTAAGGACAGCCTGAGCAAMTTAGTGAGACCCTGTCTCAAAATAAAAAGGAATGGGGATGTAGCTCAGTGGCAGAGTGCTTGCTCTGAGGGTTGGTGCAACGCCCTGGGTTCAGGGGATTTAACAAAAAAGAAAAAGAAAATGCRTCTGAACCATCTGAACATTATCACCCAGCAGCACAGCAGTGGCACACCGTGGATCATCAGTTGCTTCCCTGTGATCCGGTGGTTGACTGGGAGGTGTGGTCCTCTGTTGSTACTCAGCATGGCAAAGGGGTGTATACTGCATGTTACTGGCCTGGGAGAAGATTAAAATTCAAATTATGGTTTCTACTGGATGCATATGGCTCTTGCACTGTCTTAAACCATAATATGTCAGGGACTGCCTTTGTAGATACATATACATATATACAGATATGTACACAGCCTCATGTTGGTGTGACAGGAATACATTAGGAAGATGACATTAGGTGATTGTGTACCATACAAACTTCAGTGGTGTAGCCTGCTACACACCTGAGGGGGAGAGAGATACCAAGCCTAGGAGAAAATGATGCARTCCAGAGACAAGGTAAGCAGGAGGTGTGTGAGGCTGCTGCAGGGAAAAACATGGCATCTGTTTTACAGTGAATTTTGTAAGTGGAACTTTGTAAGTGGAAAGCGCACAGTCTATAATAGTGATGAAACGTCTAGTGTGGTGTAGTAGAGACATAAACCAGTAGTAGTCATTGATTATCAAACATTAGGAACTGTACATAATTGTGATACTTTTTTTGAAATTTTTTTTAGTTGTCGATGGACCTTTAATTAATTAGTTAATTAATTAATTAATTTGTAGTAATGCTGAGGATYGAACCCAGTGCTTCACACATGATAGGCAAGCGCTCTATCACTGAGCCCCAGCCCATGTGCTCTACCTTATGTGACTGGCAGTGCAATAGGTTTGTTTACATGTTGCACTGCAGCATTAGGACAGCTCTAGCATCATTAGGGGATGGGAATTTTTCAGCTCCATTTTAATCTTAGGGAACCACTATTGTGTATATGGTCCCTCGTTGACCAGATAGTCATCATGTGGCACATGATTG